AGTCTTGTCTTTTCTCCTACAAACTGCCTGTGGCTCTAAGCCTGCCTGGCCAGCTTTCTTCCCGTGCCTTTAGGAGCCTGCCTCGGTCTCCTCCCCCAACCCACAGTAGCCGCCATTGTTCAGGGGACGCACAGGCGCCGTCGATGTTTCTCAGTTCTCCACTCCCAAAGCTACACCCAGCTACCGAGGATTTTTGTTTGCTTGTTTCTTTCTGTTAAGGCGAAGGTTGGCAAACACCGGCGCTTGTCAGTTCCCCAGCCCTGCGGTCTCCCTTTTGACCTCAAGCTGTTCCTCACTCCCTGAGGAACAGGTGCATGCCCTCTGCTCAAGCTCCTTCCCCGACAGCAGGTGCGCCCACGAACACACACTCACTCATGTACTCTCAAACGCACGCCCACCACACACATACACACACATATACATTCAGACTCCTACGTTCGCGTGCACACTAACACACACTCATACATTCATATACATACACCCACATTCTCACACAATTCATACACGCATATACACTGACAGGTACCCTTACACACTTGTACAAACACAATCACACACTAGCCCATCCTGCACACACAGCTTCTCTGACACAAAAGGCCTTGGGAAACCGTGCCTGTGACCCAAGTTTGCCAAGCTGCTTGGACTGGGTCGATTTTACGTTGTTGATTCTGTGTACTGGTGGTGTAAGAAAAGCCCCTCAATCCAGATTGGGAGTCAGAGACCAAGAACACGAGGACTGTGGGAGCTGGGAGGGGAGCCACTAAGGTCCCCTCAAAACCAGGAGGAAGGAAATAATAAATGAAAGGGCCCAGGCAGGCTAAGCTGGGGAAGCGCAAGCGCGTCACTAAATCACTCCCTAAATCACACCCGCGTCGTGCTCCATCCAATAGCTCTAAGCGATTTGTGGGGTTGGGGGTTGGAATCAATTTTTTTTCCGTTCTCGCAGGTGCAATATGAATCAATTATCTTAATTAAGATTATGCCGCAAGCCCAGGAGATTCGGGGAGGACGAGTTTTGCGCTCGGGGCGACGGCGAAGCATTTTAATAGCATCTCTTCTTGCTCATGGCTGTCCTCCACTGCCAGCCTGTCGAACCGGGGCAGCTCCAGTCTTGGAAAGGACCTGGGAGCCCAACTGCCTCCCTAGAGGCAGAGGCGCAAAACCGTCGCGGCACAGACGTCTGGTCGGAACCAGTATAGTCCCCCCTTGGGCTTCCGAAGGGCCTCCGAGCTACCCAAACTGCGGCGAACTTACAACTCCTAGCCCCTGCTCCTGCTGCCTCAACGTCCCCCCAACCACCATCCAGAAGTCCCCAGGTCTCCGCCCTGGAACGCGCCCAAGGCTGGACACGCCGCTCCTGGGCGGTGGGGAAAGGACGCGGGCACTGTCGAGGTCGGTCTGGTAGCCCTGTCCACACTTGATCCCTTCATTGAACATAAACCTCCCTTTGCAAGAGCGAGCATCTGGTTCCCCGAGAAACAGGTCACCGCCGGGGACGCTGGCCGTCCCCGGCTCTTTATCTTGGCCCTGTGAATGCGTCCTTCTCCCCCGCCCCCCATCGCCGGCAGCCACAAGCCTTCCACCCCCTACGTCCGCGCC